TTATAGTACCTCCTTCTTTCCTCACACAGTCAAGCTGTGGAATGCTCTGCCTTCTTCTGTGTTTCCATGCTCTTACAATCTGTCTCACTTTAAAAAGCTGGTTTTCCGGAATCTTCGTGGTGTAGATTAATACGGTATAACCTTTTTTCTATATTTACAATTTCTTTCCGTTCTTTTTTTTTCGCCCCCCAGGCTCCGTTGTGGGTCGTTTAACCTGTGCCCGGGTGGGCTAATTCCCGTAAAAAAAAAAAAGCAGCTACACCATCAAATTCAGCATTAGCAGCAGCTTCAGGAACTGCAGGTTCAGTAACAGTTTCAGCAACAGCTATGACATCTTTATGGAAAGCTACAGCTTCAGCCAGAGTTGAACCTTACGAGTTCGTCATCTGAGTATAAACTCACACAACAGCATTCATTGGCTGTCCTTATGTTTTCGACTTTACCACCATTGGTGAGTAGAATTTTTGTTTTACATTCGTAAGTATTATTTAAAACCTATATTAACAGTAATAAGAGTTGCTTTCATATTCTTATGTCGAGAAATTATGATATGGTTTCACATGTAGGTACTTACTTACATTGGCGTTGCGCAGTCTTGCTTTTTTTTTTTTTGTATTTACAATTAGTGGTTAGGTTGTAGTGGATTTCTCCCCTACAAACGCTGTTTATCGCTGCATAGCCGACCCCACGAATTCCACAGTGTGTGCCTCGTGGTCTAGGTCAACCAGTGCCGCCATACATCACGGAGCGGGGGTCAACTACTAAGCCACGCCTAACCCCCGCTATTTAAGACCTGACCTCGTGGTGACCTCTCTCTTTCTACCTACACCAACCAGCTAGCAACACCTCATCCTCCTCTGCCGCTGCCCGGCAGCCCTCACTCCTCCTCCGCCTGCCTGGCGGTCCTCGCTCCCGCCGGAGAGCATGGCGACCCACAAGCTGGTCCTCCTCTGAGCATCCTCACCAACCAGCTCTCTCTACATCACGCTTGTAACCATGCTGCCTTCCCGGCACCAAGCTGCATTGTACATCCAATACAACATGTATATAGAGAGCACATTGTGAGTTTCCTTTCTCCATTCCATCCTAAGTGTGAACCAAACAATCTTGAACCCCACAAATGGTGACTCCCGGAGATTCGCACTCACACAGGATGGAGGAGAAACTGATCACGCTCCCAGTCTTCAAGCAACATGGAAGACTGGCTTATCCAAACAGAAGCAGCTCTCATCGGCTATACAACTACTGTCTCTACACCGCAGGTCAGACACCCTAGAGCAGCTCTGCTACTCTAAGCAGACACCAGCTCCTCTTCCTGCCCCAATCACCACGTCCTACCGACCCCAGCACACCCGTCCTGCCTCAGACGCCGACCCCGGCCCAGCAGTAACCCCTGCCGCCCCTGACGCGGCCTCTGTTCCTGAGTGCGGACCCACACACCCCTCTTTTCTCCCTCAGGTACTCCCTGCTATTGTCCTGCACCCTGCTGCTGTCGTGGACCCAGCTGCTGTCACGAGCCCTCATCCGCTTCTGCTGACGCAGCCCCTGCTCCTGACCCAGGCCCACACACCTCAGCAGGCGCATCTGACGACTCTGTACCTGCCGTGAGGGAAGCACAACATTCATCGCCTCCACACACCCTTTTTCTCCCTCTCTTCTCCCACAGATAGTGTGTATATAGACAGTTGTATCCAGCGACCGGCTCATCCACGCCATCGCCGTTGTCTCACATGAGGCATGCACCGCCCGTTCTGCCTCACATGTGCTAAGCAACCCTACAGACAACAAGTCTCCTACACCACCTGGAGGGAAGGGGGAGTATTGTAGTGGATTTCTCCCCTACAAACACTGTTTGTCGCTGAGTAGCCGACCCCACCAATTCCCCAGTGTATGCCTCGTGGTCTAGGTCAACCAGTGCCGCCATACATCATGGAGCGGTGATCAACTACTAAGCCACACCTACCCCCGCTATTTAAGACCTGACCTCGTGGTGACCTGCCTCTTTCTACCTCCACCAACCAGCCAGCAACACCTCCTTCTCCTCCGCCGCTGCCTGGCGGCCCTCGCTCCCCCTCCGCCTGCCTGGCGGTCCTCTCCCCCGCCGGCGAGCATGGCGACCCACAAGCTGTCCTTCTCTGAGCGTCCTCACCAACCAGCTCTCTCTACATCACGCTTGTAACCATGCTGCCTTCCCAGCACCAAGCTGCATTGTACATCCAATACAACATGTATATAGAGAGCACATTGTGAGTTTCCTTTCTCCATTCCATCCTGAGTGTGAACCAAACATCTTGAACCCCACAAATGGTGACTCCCGGAGATTCGCACTCACACAGGATGGAGGAGAAACTGATCACGCTCCCAGTCTTCAAGCAACATGGAAGACTGGCTTATCCACACAGAAGCAGCTCTCATCGGTTCTACAACTACTGTCTCTACACCGCAGGTTAGACACCCTAGAGCAGCACTGTTTCTCTAATCAGACACCAGCGCCTCTTCCTGCCCCAAGCACCACATCCTACCGACCCCAGCACACCCGTCCTGCCTCAGACGCCGACCCCAGCCCAGCAGTAACCCCTGCCGCCCCTGATGCGGCCCCTGCTCCTGACGAGGACCAACACACCCGTTCTGCCTCAGACGCCGACCCCGGCCCAGCAGTACCCCCTGCCGCTTCTCCTGACGCGGCCCCTGTTCCTGAGTGCGGACCCACACACCCCTCTTTTCTCCCTCAGGTACTCCCTGCTAATGTCCTGCACCCTGCTGCTGTCGTGGACCCAGCTGCTGTCACGAGCCCTCATCCGCTTCTGCTGACGCAGCCCCTGCTCCTGACCCAGGCCCACACACCCCAGCAGGCGCATCTGACGACTCTGTACCTGCCGTGAGGGAAGCACAACATTCATCGCCTCCACACACCCTTTTTCTCCCTCTCTACTCCCACAGATATTGTGTATCTAGACAGTTGTCTCCAGCGACCCGCTCATCCACGCCATCGCCGTTGTCTCACATGAGGCATGCACCGCCCGTTCTGCCTCACATGTGCTAAGCAACTCTGCAGACAACAAGTCTCCTACACCGCCTGGAGGGAAGGGGGAGTATTGTAGTGGATTTCTCCCCTACAAACGCTGTTTGTCGCTGCATAGCCGACCCCACGAATTCCACAGTGTGTGCCTCGTGGTCTAGGTCAACCAGTGCCGCCATACATCACGGAGCGGGGGTCAACTACTAAGCCACGCCTAACCCCCGCTATTTAAGACCTGACCTCGTTGTGACCTCTCTCTTTCTACCTACACCAACCAGCCAGCAACACCTCTTCCGCCTGCCTGGCGGTCCTCGCTCCCGCCGGCGAGCATGGCGACCCACAAGCTGTCCTCCTGTGAGCACCCTCACCAACCAGCTCTCTCTACATCACGCTTGTAACCATGCTGCCTTCCCAGCACCAAGCTGCATTGTACATCCAATACAACATGTATATAGAGAGCACATTGTGAGTTTCCTTTCTTCACCCCATCCTGAGTGTGAACACAAACAATCTCATACCCCACAAGGTACTTCGTATGTTCCATTCATTAACATTAAATACCATTACTTAAAACATACATATTCATTTTTTACATTAATTTTACTACAGCTACAACTAGGGTCTTATTTTTTTCAGTTTCATATGTAGAACCATCATCAAGGGTGTAAACACTAACGAAAACAATGTCGTCTCGTCTCCTCTTGTGTATTTTAATTTTCTACATATTATTAATGAATTGTATTGTTCATTTTGCATATATAAACATTAATTCAATCAATTACATAATCATTAATGCGGGTAAACAATAATGAATCTTTTGTACATATTCTTAAGATATATTACGCTGTTTCCTTGAGTGCGCACGTATACGTTGACATTCCGCTATCAGTTTCACTTTTTTCTTTACCATCGGTGGTTACTTCTACTGTATATTAATTTACACATACCGGTACATATTTTTTTACGTTAATTTTACTACAGCAACAACCAGGGTCCTATTTCTTTCAGTTTCAAATGGGTAACTGACGACGTTATTTTTGTTCAATCCAGAATGCGACGTCTAGCTTCATTTGTACAGACACATCCTAAATAGGATGGGGATACCATTCCTCAAATGGAGAGTTCCTTCAAGGGAAGTGGAGCAACTCCCTTTGGGACAAACACATAAACAAAAAATTAGCAGTAGTCCTATTCTTTTTGTTGGCAAACCCAAATTTCAAAAACATGACGATTCTGTTTGCCATGGACAACAGAAAGGCAGTGTTTTGTCTCAATCAAGGCTCAACCAGATCTTGGCCTCTTCTAAACCTATCGGAAATTTTTTTCAAAGTTTGTGTAACGCAAACACTTTACCTCAAAGCAACTCACATACCGGAAGTACAAAACAATTGGGCAGATGCGTTGTCCCGTCTAAGGCCAGTGTAGGGTTATGAGATATTGGTTCACTCTCAGGATGGGTTGGAGAAAGGAAACTCACGATGTGCTCTCTGTATACATATTGTATTGGATGTACAATGCAGCTTGGTGCTAGGTAGGCAGCATGGTTACATGCGTTGAGTAGAGAGAGCTGGTTGGTGAGGGTGCCCAGAGGAGGGCACGCAGCTTCAGGGACGCCATGGTCGCCGGCGGGAGCGGGAGCCGCCAGGCTGGAGCTGAGGAGGAGGTGGTGTTGCTTGTTGGTGGCTGTAGGTAGAAAGAGGGTGGTCACGGCGGGGTGAGGTCTTATAAGGCGGGGGTAGGCGTGGGTTGATAGTTGACCCCCGCTACGTCAGGCGGCGCTGGAGGTGCAGGCTGGGTAATTCAAAGAGGGTCGGCTACTCAGCGACAAACGGCGTTTGTAGGGGAGGAATCCACTACACCAGTATCAACAGAAACAGAATGGTCCCTAAAGATATAGAAGTTCAAGAGTTTAGTGAGGAGGTTTGGGACTCCACAAATAGATCTCTTTGCCTCACAAAATGTTGCCCAAAGTGGTTCACAAACTCAGATCCTTCTTAATTGCACCATATTGGATCCTACAACCATGGTGTCTCGATCTGTTGGACTGGTGCCTGCATCCACTACAATTGCAACAGGGATATATAGAACAGGTACTGCACCCTCAGTTCGAGATATCCTTGGCACTTCACGCTTGCAGTTTCTCGAAAGATGTTTAAATAGATTGTTGGGTAATTCCAATATCGTTAACCAAGTGATAGCAGGTCATAGGCCCCAAACTTCTATGCAATATGAGAAAGCTTTGAAACTTTTTCAACAATTTATCAGGTTAGCGACTCCAATCACATTGTCGGACACAGTGGTGTTAGAATTTTTAGATTTTCTGTTCAGAGTTAAAGGCCTTCAAGGATCAACAATTGCATCTTATAAATCAGCATTGGTTGACCCTCTGGCATTGAGTTTTAATATTACTTTGAACCCAAGAATTTATCAAATGCTCAGATCATCCTTAGAGAATCCCACCTTGGTCTCTAGATAAAGTTATTAAATTTTTTAAAGGGGCCTAATTACGATATAAATCTGCATTATTTAAAGAATATAGTTTGCATTTTTTATTAACTTTATTGTTTGGGGGGAAAAGAGGGTAAAAAGTCAGGCAAAAGATATGAAAAGGTCAGACTTTGAAACGTATCTCACTCTTATTACTTTACAGTATTTTAAAGGTAATCAATGATTCACAACACGATGATTTACCTTACACTGCATTATTGGAGGACACATTACTGTCGTTATTCGAGGCTTTATTGTACAGGGTACTGTATCTGCCCAAAATTTTAAGGTCCCAATGTGCCGGACTGGTTTCACCCTGTAAATGTATTTTGACAGGTCGCGGCACCTCTAGTCTATACCTGAAGTTAAACAAATGAAAACTTCCATATATATATATATATATATATATATATATATATATATATATATATATATATATATATATATATATATATATATATATATATATATATATATATATATATATATATATATATATATATATATATTATATATATATATACATACAGTGGGGTATGCTATAACGAACGGATCCTACTACGAATATTCCTATAACGAACGGTTTTACCTATAAAATTGAGAATGCTATAACGAACGAAACTCCTACAACGAACATTATTTAAATTTTTTTTTTTTTCTAATTTATTGTTTTTTTATTACAAATATTAATGATATTCTTTATTTCAGGGGTTTATTTGCATATTTATGCACTTTTTTACAATTTTTACAATTTTATATTATATTTTTCAGTGTTAAGTGGTTGTATTTGGGGGCCTGGAACGGATTAATCCTATAACGAACGAATGCTGTAACGAACAAGGTTCTAGAACCAATTAGATTCGTTATAGCATACCCCACTGTATATATATATATATATATATATATATATATATATATATATATATATATATATATATATATATATATATATATATATATATATATATATATATATATATATATATATATATATATATATATATATATATATATATATATATATATATATATATATATATATATATATATATATATATATATATATATATATATATATATATATATATATATATATATATATATATATATATATATATATATATATATATATATATATATATATATATATATACCACAATTACAATCATACCTCAAATGGAATAAACACATTCCTTTCAGCAGGAGACACTTGTACACAGTTCAACTTTGGAAACTTAATTTTTTTTCCATATTGGTTCTTGAAGTAGTTTTCAATGGTGCAGTAAACTGTGTTCCCAGTATTCTCATCTTTTAAAGGAAATGTTTGTTTCTCAGCAGAATGTTCTGAAACATCTATAATCTTGTAAGTGCGAGGGATATTGGAGTGTGTAACTTGCACCTGAAATATAAAAGTTACTTTAATTGGTGAGGTTTTGCAGAGAGGTAGAGTTATATGGTTTGGGCGTGTGGAGAGAATGGAGAAACCATTTGAGTCAAGGGATGCAGGAGTTTGAATATGGAGGGGAGGAGAACAAGGAATAACAAACAGAGGATGTGAGAAATGTCAAAGATATTAATCTGACAAAAGAGGAATGAAGACACAATGCACCTTGTTAAGTTGCCTACAGATAATCACAGCTAACTTATATAAGCACAATAAATGGTTGTAAAACATTAATGATGATGTGGATGATGATTAAAACATTATACAATCACCCACAAAAGTCCTGTCACCTCTCCTCTTGAAACACAAACCCCGACGTTTACTCATGAATCCAAAGCATTTTTGGACAGAATAATGCATCAGTTTCTACTGCTTCAGGTTCACGAGTCTAAATCTCTTGGGTTGTAACTAATTCCATAAGAAAGTGAGCCTTGCACAAGTAATTCCAAATCATTAAATGCTGGACTGTGTTCTCTATGACTCTTACCACATTCATTAACTCTACAAATTTTATTCCAAAAAGAAAAGCTACCAGCTTTGTACGGTCTTTTATATACAGGGTGTCTATAATTTATTCACCTGATTATGAAGCTCAATAATACCGAAATTTTCCCTGATAATTTTAGATAACTCAGCATTTCCCAAATTATTTTATAATAAATTCCAAGACCATACACATGCCGAATTATACTGTTTAAATTCCGAGATATTAAATGCCGAGTTATAAAGATTTTGTGGTCCCTCGGTTAACAAATGGTTCGATTAACGAAATTTTGGTTAACGAATTACCGCCCATAAGGATCTTTAATTTGGTTAACGAACAAATCTTCAATTAACGAAGTCCTTAAGAACAACACGTTTTGTTGTGAGCATCAGTTGATGGGCTAGTCTGCCAATTCAATAATCTCTTCTATGTTTACATTCGTTTCCAGTGGAGTAAATATCAAGAAAGTTGTGCTCTTTAATATTTTTGCATTTTTTATATTAAAATTATTAGTCATTTTAAAATTTAGTCAACATATTGATAATATATGCAGTACAGGGAACTAGTGTTTTGTGCGCCCATCAGCCGCTTGACTCAGCCACTAGGCGTCAGTTTGGCTTTGTTGACAGTGGAGTGAACATCTATTTTGTTGGTGTCTTGAATATTTTTGCATTTTTACATTGAAATTATTGATCATTCTGAAATTTAGTTAACTCATTGATAATATATAGCGCAGTGCAGTGTTGATTTAAATAAAATAATTTTGAATTACACCTAGTGAACTTATAATTTTATTGGTGAAATGATTGCATCAAGCATGGGTCCCTGAAAGATGATTTCTCCTCCATCCCCACTTACTTCTCTTCTCCCTTCTCATCCACCCCCACTTCTAATTCCCATCATCATCATCCAGGAACCTTCTACATACACACCTCAAAGTAAGTGTACTTTACTGCATTTTTTTTTTACTTTGTATGCACATTTCGGTGAGCTGGAACCAATTACCCAATATCCCATTGAAACAATGGATTCGGTTAACGAAATTTTCGGTTGACGAATGACCCTCTGGAACGAATTGTGTTCGTTAACCAAGGGACCACCGTATTTGCTTCTAATATACATAAGACTGCACTTACCCTAATATTTCTTAGTTCTTGCAAAAGTTTTGATCGTTTAAATGGCTCTAATGGTCTATGAAAATCATCTTCCCTAAAATTCATGAAGTCTTGAATAAAGTTCAGAAGAGGTTGTTCTTTATAGAATGCTGTGTGTGCAACTAAAAATAGAGATAAAATGTTTTAATAACAAGCAAACTAAGCGATTTAGTAGATTTAGAGCTAATGAAATTTTATAATCAATCAATAATTTCATATTTTCTGACTACTGTATAAAGAAATACATGATATTCAGTAATTACAAAACTAAATCTCAAGCAAATGTGCTATATATCAACAAGACTGGCACATTACAAGACAAACATGTATATACTCGTACAATCATACCATCAATATTCAGTAAGAGAGATCCATCCTTCCAAGATGCAGGCCTCATCGACCCAAAAAAACCAGTCACACCTTCCTTGCCACATCCAATTGGATATGGCGTTCCAAACTCTCCTCCTGCCGAGTAGAAGTTACGACGACCAACCAATTCATACTTAATGGCCCGATAATGACGAAACATTACTTCAACCATCTGTAAAATACTCAAGAAAACAAACAAGATAAAGTTAATATCTAAATTAACCCAAATTGTTAAAATTATATACTGTATATCAGGATTCATATACAGTATACCATTACTGGGCCAGTGACATCCATCTCCATCAAAAATTTATCTTGACAGTTTCTTGTAATGTGTTATACATATCAGTTTTACTGTACTGTACTGTATAGGCTGTCCTCACTACATATTTTCCATTAATACCCATATGTATTTTCATAAATACATATGACTGATACACATTTTTTCCTGTCGTGTACATTTCAGAAGCCTTACCCTAATCTACTTTGGATCTCATGGCTCAACCAAACAAGGTTCACTACACACGTCCTAATATTTTACCAACAGGTCAGGGACTTGTCCTTATATTGAGTAGCTAGTGTTTTGGGTAACTTTTATCTTGTGCTTTGTTATATAAACGAAAAACAATAATATAGGCATTTTTTCTTTTTCCATCATTGGAAGATACTGACAATGACACAGACACCTGTCAGTAGTGTGAGACAGAAAAAATCTGAACACATTAGAAATGATGGTCCCTACTCAAAATAACCTTTTGATTGCTTTTGTCAGCTACCCTTGGTCAAACTGCATAAATATTATTAGATCCCTGATAATTAAGTTTTCATTGCACTCAACATATTTCACCTGAAAAAGGTCTTTTTTTTATTAAAATTAATTTCAGTATACCATTTTGGGACCATGGATCATAACCCATTTTCTACATAGATGCCACTGATTTATTATTGTTAATATTTACAAATTTGTAGGGTCTGTCAAAATCTAACCATGTAGATTAGGCAAAAACAAAAAATAAGGGCGGATCCAGTTTTGTGTGGGGGGAACATGGCGAACACAGCAAGCTCACCCGGCTGGAGGGTTTTTTGGGGATAATGTAAGCCCCCCCCCACCGATTTTGTTTTTTAAATCTGACCAATGTCATGGGCATTTTGAAGCCATTTTGAAACCATGTTCACTTGATATTAGGAAATATTCTGAGGTCAATAGTACAAGTAATTACATTTTACTATACAAAAATGCCTGAGTACAGTACTGTGTTAAAGAATAAGTATTCAAATTTTCTGATGAAAAGGGGGGTCCAGACCCCCAGGACCCCCCCCTGGATCCACCCCTGAAAAAATATATAAAAACTAGGTAACTTATATTAACCTGAAATATGTTTAATGGAAGTGTCTTCTGTTCACGAGCAGAGCAGTTAAGTGCCTCCGTAAGTTCCTGGAGGTTGGCACGATGTCTCACCATTAGTGAAATTTTGTATTGTGTCCTCTTGCCATCTGATTCCTCAAGGTCAATCTTTGGTGAAAAACCAAACAACAGATAAATTAGAATGACAAAGCCTCTGTGCCTGGGTGTGTTCATAAAATTTTGGACATATATGGAAAATTACAGAGTTTAGATATTATTAAAACTCAAGGGTATATGAATGATAGAAGTCGAACTGTCACAAACAATTTTAATAGCAAAACATTACGAATTATGAGCGATTTTGAATATGAGGGATACACTTGATTGATTGTTTGTGGTAATTTCATCCCTTGCAAAGCAACAGCGTGGGTAATATGTCGTTGAATTTAAAATAAAAGCTTAAGACTAATATCAAGCATTGCAAGGTAAGAAACATAAATAATAAACAGTAGCATAAAACTTTTGTAAAAAACATTTAAACGTTAATAGATGAAACTCAAAGCTTGTGCAGAACACCAGCTTCCTCCAGGAAGGAAAGGACGTCCCCTCCCATGCTACTCACTCCCTCCCCCAGCACCAAAGACAGATCGTAAGACTCATCTTCCCCCTGGCACTGGGAGAGATGCTTCCGACGAAAGATCTCCGAGGCTGGGGCACTCCACCAGGAGGTGTTGAACAGTCAATGGGACGGGGGCACCCTCTCCATTAAAAAAACCATGAGTCCGTCGTGTGTGGCCAATGCAGAAGTAGGCCAACGCAGTCTCCCAGTGGTGCAATGGTCCCTAATGTCCCCAGGCATCCAAAGCAGGGTGGATATCGTCGAGGTTGTTTGCTCCGACAGCATCCTACCTGCATTGCCAACTCGAGCGGATGGATGGGAGCTCTTATTACTGGCTTCATATCAGAGGCAGGTAGAGAGGAATGATGTGCCACAGGGCGAGAAGCAGCTGCTTTCGACACAGACTCACCACGGGGGTAAGAATTATGGTGTTTTTACTGTACATTATGTTTTATATCCTGCTGTTATAATGATTAAAATTTCATACAGAACGTGAAAAACTAGATAAATAAAAGAAATCAATAGCAGATAGTCAAAATCATAGTGTAAATAAAAAAAATTTCCCCAGATTTGGTGTGGATCGTGGAAGTAGGTGGGGGTTCAGTGTTGGGATCACAGTCAAGCCATGAGCTGCGTGAGTTATTTTTCAATTTGCCTTTTCGGGTAAATAATTTTTTTCATACTATTACATGCAATTTACGTCCCCAGAAATGTTGGGAAGGATAGCGCCACAGTGTTGGTACGCATCTCAGTCCCCCAGGCTGTGAGCTGCATTATTGTGACACTTAAGTATTCCTTGTACCAAAGACTTTTCCAGCATGCACACCTTCATAACCTACTGTGTATTTACATACTATATAGCAGTTTAGGTCACAACTTACTGAAATGCAATTTTGGATTCATCATGCATGTACAGAGCCTATAACTGTAATAAATTTCTGAACAATTGGAGAAGGAAAAATATTGAGACCGTGTGATCTTCTGGCATGAAAGCTCAATGTTTTAACCTCTCTTCAAAGAATCTTTACTCAAACCGATTGCTAGCAACACACATTATATCATTAGATATTTCAAAATCACATTTCTACATATTTAATAAATACTCGCCTCATAAGTACTCTGGCAATCAGGAGTTTGAAGAGCAGGGATGACACCCACACTGTATGCATTCCTTTCTGAGTCATAAGCAAGTGGGTAATTCTTGAAATCCTTTTCATATATCATCTTCATTTTTTCAAATATCTCCCTTAAAAAAATACAAAAGAATGAATAATATTTAAGGTGATGTTCAGATGACAAACAAATAATTTATAGAGGGTAATATGCAGTACAGTACAGTACAGTAAACCCTTGCCATTAGGGAGAAATAGGTTACAAGAAAGGGCACGAATAGGCAAAACCGCTAATAGCAACTTATACTACTTAAGTGCACTACTGTATACAGTAAGTCCTCGCTTAATGTCGGGATTACGTTCCTGAAAACACGACGTTATACA